GGGCATCACGTTCAGGGACGACCCGTTATCCACAAGAACTTTGGCGATGAGGTATTCCTTGCATTTAACTGAGATATGCAAGGGTTTGTTATGTTTTGACCTCTCCAGGGGGAGTTCTTCCTCTGTGAAGGTGAGGTGATCGTTTGCCGTGATGTGACCGACGATTCTCTCAACCTTTTCTTGGGATATTGTATGAGGTACATGCGCCTCGCTTAAGACCTTCAGCAGGGCGTTCTGGTGCGGTTCCGAGCTCATTATCAAAGATAGCAACGTGATCTTTGCAGGTGTACGGTTGAGCTGGTCTATAATGGAATACTCACTCTGCCTTATGAACTGGAGTAATTCCTTTGTCTCCTCCTTGGATTCTTTATTTTCTTTTTCTTCTTCGGTCTTTTTATTTTTTCCTTTATTTTGGAGGACATCTTCCTGTGTGTCCTTGGGGGAGTAGATTCTTCCACTTCTAATTGTGCCCCCAATGCCGGCTATGTTTGTTATTTCTTCTTTTATTGGTGAAGATTCCCCATATCTCCACGGTACAACTTTATTTGACTCGTAGGGGAGAGGACGTGGCATAAATAGTCGCACTGGCGTCCTTGACCCCTCTTCTGTATTTTTAAGGACCAACGGCCGAGGTTTATTTTCCTCTTGCGGCGGGTCGACCGTTGGAGTGATCTTTATTAAGAGTGGCTTTCTCTCCATTCTTCTGAGTTGGAAGATGTGTTAGTTAATCCTTCCTTTTTATTATCTTATTTATTAAGCGTGAAGGAGGGGAAATTAAAATATGCAAATGAATGTTTATGCATACAAGTAGACAAGTGTTGAATATCGAAAAAGATTTCATTAATTCATTGGAAGGTGTACATTCTCCTATTCTATACTGCGGAGCAATTTCTGGCAGAAGCGGAAAACTTTGAAGAAACCCACAGGTGGTTTTTGGTTCCTCTGTAGTTCCCTCTCAGCTTCCCGGACATGGTGAGCGAGCTCCTCGCTTTGCTTGCGGACCGCCTGGCTCATATCTTCACTGTACTGCTGAGCCTCTTTGATCTTCGCCTCTTGATGAATGACCAAGGCTTGTAGTTCATCGAGCCTTTCAACAGCTCGGTCTTTCTCTTGAAGTACTTGGCCATACTGAGCTAGCCCGTCTTTCTCCTTAAGGCGTAGCTCAGAGAGACTTTTGGTGAGTCTCCTGTTGGTCTCTCGCTCTTGGCGGATATCTAACCGAGCCTTGAGGAGCCCTTCTGACAACTCCTTGATCGTTTGGGCCTGCTTAGCTGATTCGGCCTCAAGGTGTGCTGTTTTGGCAGTAATCTCTTGCAGTTGGCTATCCGAACTGGTTTTAGCAATTTTGGATGCTCGGATAGCTTGTTCGTTAGCGTCAGCACATTGGTCCTTGAGGCGCTCTATTTCATGATCCTTTTTCTTGCCTTGCCTTTGTAGACCGTCAATCGTGAGGATAGATGCTTGCTCTTTTTCCTCAAGGGCCCGTATCTGGGCTTTCATGATTTCTACCCTCTGGGTCAAGGCATTGACTTGTGCCTGCAGCTCTTCATTATTGGCGGTTTGCATGGGTGTGGTGGATGGTTGAGTCATCCCTCTTCTTCTTCTCCATGCCTCGTAGTCGCTGGTGACAGTTACCCGAGCTTTTCCTAGCTCTCTGTCTCCCATGTTGACTGGCCTCTCCCATGCTTTTCTTATGGTTGATGAGTTGATGATCGTGCACGGGTCTCCAAGGAAGCACAGTCCTCCGAGCTCCCCTCGGGAAATAATAGTTTGGGTCCTCATGAGTTGCCTCATAGCTACTCTAGGTGAATAGGCTATGCAACCCCTGAGTCCTATCAAGGGTACATTCGGATAGTTCCCGCATCTGATGAGAACAGGGCCGGGTCGAAAACAAGGGCAGACCTAAGATATACTGTTGGCGTCTTTTTGTTCTAACTCATCCCTCCATTCTATAGTCAGACGTCGTTGGAGGGGGATTTTGGAGAAGCTTCTCAAAGGATCGGGGAATATCCCCATGTGACTGGAGGCGTAAAGATGCGTGATGCTCCACACATATAGCAATGAAGAGCAGCAGCGGAGTGTTCTCCCTTGCTTCTGATGGCAAAAGTCTACCGAGAGCAAGGTGTCGGCAAGAATAGCAGGCAAGGGACTCTTCGAGTGCACGTCCCAGGCGAAGAAGGCGTCCATGACGGCTTGATCTACTGTGTCGAGGTGGAAGGGGAACAGGACTGTTCCGAAGATTATTAGTGCCAAGGTTTTGTTGAAGGCAACCCACTCTGCCCTTTCAGCCAAGTAGGACAGGTGGTCTTCTAACATCGATACTTTCCACCCCTGGGTGTTCCCTCTTCCTATCAGGGTACTCTGTCGGAACGACAGATGGATAAGGGCAGCGACTGGTGCTGCAGGAGTATACGCCTCGTGGTGAATATGGACCCCGGCTGATTTGGGCCACCTCAACATAGCTTCATACTCCTCTAAGGTAGGCACCATGTCGAACTACGGAAATTCAAAGCACCGCAGACTAGAGTTCCAAAAGTGAATCAGTACCCTGAGGAAGACCTAATCAACACTTATCTTTAGGAGGTCCAAAATTCGTCCATAGGACTTTTCAAAATCAGCACGGACCTCTGGTGGCATTGTTGCACTAAGCTGTTCCAACTTCTCAGTATGGTTTCGGAGAATATCCACCTTCCCCACTTGTCTACTTGTTCCCTCCATTTTCTAAAATCAAAATGTATGATTTGATGAAGATGATGTTTATTGTATGAATGTGAGTGTTTATTCTTCTATTTATCATGTTTTTCTACATGATGTATGGTATTTGCGTATATATATATATTTTTTTTGAAAGAGTAAACTATCTATATGAATGCTTTATGAGTGTTATTTTTGGACCAGGTCTTATTTATGAACTTTGAAAAAAAATGGATTTTTTTATTTTTATTTATTTATTTTATAGCCTTTTATCTCTTTTGTCGGAACTGTGTGGCTACTTAGCTTACAAAGAACCTGAAACCAGGCTAGCTAAAAGGCAGACTGTCCGAGATAAAATATGGCTTTATGCGAAAGAATGTTTAGCGTCCCTTATCTCTTCTGTCGGAACTGCGTGGCTACTTAGCTTACAAAGAACCTGAAACCAGGCTAGCTAAAAGGCAGACTGTCCGAGATAAGGGCGTTTATTTGTAAAATATTTTTTTGGTTTTCGTTCTGTTGTTAGTTTATGCTATGCAACATACAAATGCAACAATCATATGCACACACAATTTGATCATCCCCGAACCGACGAGATTTCGTTTTTATCACGAGGTAGGGTTTTCCTGCAGAAAAGTGCATTGGACAGGGTAGGTTCTAACTGTTCTCACCAGGCTAAGGCCCCCAAGGTGCCCCCATTATAGGGTCCCCACTCTCCAGCCGTCCGACCATGCTCAACACTAAGGCCAGAGTCGGTCTTGTTGCCAAAAGAGGAAGGTTATCACCTTGAGTGGTGGTTTCCGATCACACCGGTGGGCACAAGGCCCTAATTACAGCTAACCGTACCTGCCACCCACTCCCTATGGTTATCTCACTTGCCCCCAGGTATAGAGGGAACTGTAGTGTGCAAGGGTTTGTGTGCAATTTATATCTCAATCAATTGCGTAAGTATAAACAAGCAACAGTTATTTGAAAGCCAAACAATAAAGCATGTTATAATACAAGGCAGGGTAAAAGCGCCATTTTCTTGGTTTAATTATTTTTAAGCCAGCCCATCACTAAATGGGATCAACTCTCTAGGCTTCCCCAGTGGAGTCGCCATCTGTCGCCGCCTCCCAAAAGAGGGGCGGTCGGAGCGACGCGATGGTTTCGACCCTTTTGTTTTTTTCGCGTTTCTTTATGGGTGGGTACAACGTCCTTAGGTTGTCCAATAACTGGGCTAACCTAGAGACGAGGTTTTCGAAAAGTGTTCTCGGGTTGTCCGATGACCGGGCTAACCCAAGAACGGGTTTTGGAGGGTTCGTGGAGTCGCCACCGATATTTTTACCAGAAACATCGGAAAAGGTGTTTAAAAAAGGCGTTGGTTTTCGAAAACCAACTTTGGTCATTAGAACCAGAGTTGGGTAAGGGAGTTAGTTACGCGTAAAGGAAGTGTTAGTTCCTTTACGACGCCCCTTTCGGGTTCCCTATGATGGGCTGGCTACTTTGGATAAATAATTAAACTGGAAAATTGCGCTTTTACCCTTTTATTATGCGGTATTTAAAGATTATGACTACATGGCCCTAGCGTCTATTGCATAATTTTAAATGAAAGCGGTAAATTAGAAAGAGAGAGGGTGCACCTCCAAAGCAAGCTTTTTGTATTTCTCTTTAAAGAATGGGTGCTTTTTGGCAACCCTTCACTCTACAACTCTCAGATACTCCGGAAATGCCTCGGAGGGATTCTAAAGAAGATTTAGAACACTCAATTTATGCCTAGAGACACTCAGAAACTCCGGAAATGCTTCGGAGGGGTTCTAGAGAGAGAAAATCTAGAGAGAAGGGAGAGCTACTGTGCTTGGTGTGTTCAAATGAGGGGGGGAGAGCCCCTATTTATAGGTTTTCGCGCCTGACAGTGGCGAGACCGCCAGTCTCGTCTGACAGGGTCGAGACCGTCATCTGGACATTCCAGACCGCCGTCTCGACCATGGCAGGAGGTCGAGACCGCCGTCTGGAAAACCCAGACCGCCGTCTTGACCTTTGCAGTGGCGAGACCGCCATCTGGACAAACGAGACAGCGGTCTCGTCCCTGGCGTGAGGCGAGACGGCGGTCTCGTCCCTTCAGGGCGAGAAACTTATTTTTTTGGGCCAAAAAACCTTCCTATCTTAGTACGGGGGCCTAATAGTCTCTCCTAGTGGCTTGTTAGGCTTCGACCGTCTTCAAATAGGAAGCTTTCCGACTTTATTCTGAGGTCGGGCAAGATTTGGGGTCTACAGGGGGTTAAAGGGTTCCAAATCAATGGATATCAGAAAGCAATGGACTAGCAGATATGGGTTCCAAATCTAAGCTTGCCATCGATAAGTTATTTTCTGATTTGCAGATTAATGAGTTGATGCCAGATTTTGATGTTTATCTTCCAAATAGCCGGTTTAGAAAGTCTTCCCCTGGTGATCCAAGTTTTCTACTATACTTATCTAAGTAATAACTACGTCTCTCATTGCATCAGTATGATTACTTTAGATTCTGAAATTTCATTGGTAAGTGATCTTTGTATCAGAGGAATTCACACTGGCAGACACGCTGCTTCATTGCATGGCAGTGTGTGTTCGGGTTGGGGGGTTGTAAGGTGTGACCATGTTATTTCTCACAGTAAACACTAAAAATTGATAAAGGCATTGTGGTTGTCTGTTCTCTTATAATGAAAATAGGAAAATGCAATTTCATACGTACATATATCTGTTTTCTGTTAGATATACTTCAATACATCCATGAGAAGTTGATAGCCATTTGAGATTTGGATGAATAGTTCTAATTTTTGTGGGAACAAGTGTGAGCAAGTAGCCATTGTAGGTATTTATCAATTATGGTTATTTATTTTTAAAAATTAACTTAAAATATTGACATTGATTATTTACTTGTTACTGATTCTCAAATTTAGAAGAAATAATATTCTACTTTATTGTATCAATTATGAGGTCATTAGACCTATCAATACATGAGCCTGTCGGTTATTTTAAGAAATATGGACTGTCAATTCTAAGGAGACAAATCCCTATGATTATGGGATTGTTTCTAAATACATAAACCTAGTATTAATTAGTAAAATTAGATTGTAATAAAGAATAGAATAGCACAAGGAAAAAATACAAAACTTAATGACTAGTATGGTTTTGACACAAATTAATAGCTGTGAAAAATTGTCCTTAGTTCTAGTTTCTTTTCCGCCCTCTTTTTTATTATCTATTATTGGAAATATATTACTCATTTATAACATGTATCTTCTGTTAGGGGTCATCCACCATCTAAAGTAGAGATTGAATCTCTTTAGAAACAATGTGGTGGAATTCCTTTGAAAATCTGCCAGGTCACAGAGGGAAGGGTCAGTTTCTTTTCCTATGACAAGGTGGAACTTCCTGTTCTACCCTGAAAGTCTGGTACCAATCCTACGTTTCAACTCTGAGCTGGGGGCAAAGAAAACTTAAGAGAGAATGGGTTATTGTAAACTTGTAGCTTATAGGATCTGGTGATGTGTGAGAAAGATGCAGAATGGGCTCAGTGACACACAACCAGTACTTGGCTCTAGCCAAACTGATCATGATTTTGATGTGGGAGCATGTTATTGTTGACCATAGCAAGAATATGAAGGCATTAGCTTAGTAATTCATGCCCCAGTTTACACATAGATTAGTATTGTGTAGGATAGATGATGTATTATCACTAGAGGATTTGTGACTAGAGTATCAAATAGGAAATTGTTTGTCATTCAATTTATTATTATAATTTTCATTTTAACTAACATAAAATCTTATCTGCTTTCACCACAAGAAAATTTATAATTAGCTAGAAAAATTTGCTACAAAATTTACTTTTAACTAATTTATAGCTAATTAGCTATGGAATAGTAAATGAATAAAGTTGTAGCTAATCTGTAGTAAAATAGTTAGAAGACTAATATTTTTGAAGTTATTCCCTCACTTAACAGAAAAATAATTTAGCTAGGAAATTTTTTGTCACTAATCCCTCGCTATAAATATTAGCTATGTTACTTTTTGAAGCTATTTCCTAGCTAAATTATGTAACATACAATTATAGCTAAACTGTAACAAATTTATAACAAATATCAAATTAAAAAAAATATTAAGTTACTAAAAATCATTCTTTCACATCTTCAATTCAAATTTACTAGATATTTTTTTATATATCTCTTACAAATAAGTCAACTTTCTACTAAAAATTATTTATTCTCTGTATTGTTTTTTTTTTTTTGCAAAAAATTCTTTAAAAAAATACTTGTAAATTTCTATGAAAATATATAATTATAAAAAATAATTTTGATCTTATTAAAAAATATCAACAAAAATTAATTGTAATTTTTTCTTAAAAAAATTATATTTAAATTAGTTAAAAATTTTATAAATAATACTTTTTTATAAATTTTATCTAAACCTTTAGTACTTATCTATTTTTTATATTAAAACACTCTCTTTCGCTCCTGGTGTAAAGTCAAAACTATATACACTCGGCGCACGGGCTAATGCTCACATTTTCCATGGCGGCCACTGGCAACGACAATGACAATGGCATCATCTATATTCATGGTGGTGACCTTGATTTGAAAATCATCAAGGTGCGACAGTTGCCGAACATGGACATCTTCTCGGAGCATCTCCGTCACTGCGTAACATGTGACACTATCAAATTCCACTTTGACGATGTCTCCGCCCACAGTGAAAGCCAGCGGACGTGCCACAATAGGAGGATCATCACGAACGGCCCGTACGTGACGGTTTCAGTGCCGTAGGCGACGATGGCACGCACACGAGTGCTGAAGAACTCCTAGGACCCTGAGTGGAAAGAGCAGTTCCACATCCCACTCGCGCATCCAGTGGTGGATTTGGAGTTTCGAGTGAAGGACGACGACGTTTTCGGTGCGCAGACGATGGGAACTGTGAAGATTCTGGCATGGCTGATTGCTACTGGCCAGTTAATTTTCGACTGGTTTCCTATCATTGGACCGTCCGGGAAGCCGGCGAAGCGAGACACAACGTTGCACGTGCAGATGAAATTCATGCCGGTGGAGGAGAATTTGCTTTACCAGCGAGGCATTGCAGCGGATCTGGAGCACTGTGAAGTGAGGAACACGTATTTTCCAGTGAGAAGGGGGAGTTCAGTAAGGTTGTATCAAGAAGCGCAATGTCCCGAATCTGGAAAAGGGAAGTTACCTGAGGTAAAGCTTGAGAATGGAGAGGTTTATAGGCACGGGAAGTGTTGGGAGGGTATTTGTTATGCCATATCTGAGGCTCATCACATGGTGTATTTGGTGGGTTGGTCGATTTACCATAAGGTGAAGCTTGTTAGAGAGCCTACTAGGACGTTCCCACGAGGTGATTTGACGCTTGGAGAGTTGCTGAAGTGTAAGTCTGAAGAAGGGGTGAGAGTGTTGTTGCTAGTTTGGGATGATAAAACTTCGCACGATAAGATTTTACTCAAGACGGTTAGGATTTTGCTCTACCTGGCATTGGCATTTTACATTCTTTCCTTTTTGTAATCGGTCAGAATGCTTGATTGGTTGCTGATTGCTCTGATACGTTTTGTGCAAATTGGTGTGATGCAGACTCATGATGAGGAAACCAGGAAGTTTTTTAAACATTCTTCAGTAATGTGTGTTTTGTCGTCTCGGTATGCCAGCAACAAGATGAGTTTCTTGAAGCAATAGGCAAGTGTTTGGATCATTCAGGGTTTGATTCACTTTGACTCTAGAACAAGTCTACACTACTCAGGGATCATTATACAGTTGTTCCAGAGGATGACCCTTCAGTATGGGTTTCTAGTGAAAATGATCCTGAAAACTGGCATGTTCAGGTTTGACACTGCAAGCTTAGTTTTGAGCAAATCTTATGCTATTCTTTCTTGATTTTAGATATAATTTGTTTCATTACAATGTTTTCCAACTCTTACAGATCTTCTGCTTCATTTGACTCAGGGTCCCTGAAAGGATTTCCCAAACATGTTGATGTTGCTCTGTCCCAGGTTTATCAACCAGCATTATACTTTCTTGTTTATAGAAAACTCCAAATATATTAAGTGAAACTCTGTACTACATGCTTCCAAATCAAACAGTATAGGATCTTATATATGGAATTGATTGGAACTGTATCCCGCATTTTCTAATTAATAATTCTTTTGTGCAGAATCTTATTTGTGCTAAAAATTTGGTTATATACAAAAGCATTCAAACAACATATATTCAAGCGATCGGATCTGCTCAACACTTTATTTATATTGAAAACCAATACTTCATTGGATGACATGGCCAAATTATAAAGATGCAGGTTAGGCTTCAATTCTTGATTTTTAAAAGCAGGATAGTTGTCTGTATTTTAGTGAGTTAGTTTACTTTGTTAGGCAGAAAAAAGACATTCCGTAAAATTTGATTCATTGATCTTAGAGGGAAAAAAATAAAGTTGAATGCAAAAATTTTAAATCTATATTTTTGTTTTCAGTAGCTGATCAGGCAGAGCAAAGAAGAAGCTGGTGCAGTCACCGAAACAACTATAACCCCTTCTTCATTTAAATTTTAATTTTTAATATATATATATATAACTTCGTCTATACCTCAAAATAAGTTGTTTTTAATGATAATTATTTCAATGAAGATTCATATCTAGTTATTTTTCTTTATATTCACAATAATAATAATAGTAATGTCTTGCTAGTAATATTACTTCACGCACAAACAAAAAGATGTATTCTAAATTATTATTTTGTTTTTCCTCATTATTGTATTATAGTGAAAAATATTGGTTATTTTATTTTATACATTTGGACTCAATATAGCCATCATCTTTTAACCATCTAGTTGGTTATGATCTTTGGATAAAGATTGCTGGTTAAAATAAAAAAGGTAAAATTTATAGTATAGGTCTGAGTTTGGATCTTGATATTTTACATGTTTCATCTTTCACTACCTTAGTTACACAGATATCTAATTTGCAAAAGCAGATGAAAACACAGATGCAGACACAAACTAATATACAAACACAAATGAAGACACAAACAAAAAATGTAGACACTCATGCAACAACAAATGCAAGAAGAAATGTAGTCTTTCAAGAGAGATTTATTATCTGCCTTAAAGAAACAATGATGAAAACGTACTTTAAACTTTGTTTATATTTTTAATTGTGTTATACAGAACTTTTTAGTTGAAATATTATTTTTGTTATGTTTTAATTGTTTGAAACATCATTTTAACTATGTTTAAACAATACTTTTATATTGAAAGTTGATAAGTTTGTCTTTTTTTTTTTAAGAATATGAGTAATAATTTAAATCTTAAATATTTGATATTATAAATTTTGATAAAAATTGTGAGGGATTAGCTATGAAATAGCGAGAGAAACATTGCAAAGGATTAACTACGGATTAGTGATGAAATAATTGCGAGGCATTAACCACATATTAGCTAGAGATAAATTGTCAGGGATTAGCTATAGATTAGCGAGAGAAAAATTGCGAGGGATTAGCTACGGATTAGCGAGAGAGAAAATTGTGAGAGATTACCTACGAATTAGCGAGAGTGAAATTGCGAGGGATTAGCTACGGATTAGCGAGAGTGAAATTGCGAGGGATTAGCGAGAGCGAAATTGCGAGAGATTAGCTACGGATTAGCTACAAGTTTTGGGAGATCAAATTAGCTAGAGATAAACAAAATTTCATCATTTAAATTAGCGAGGGATTTAACGACAGTTTAGCGACAAAATTTGCTACAAGTTTGAGAGAGAATACATCTGTATCTAATTAGCTACTTGAATTTAGCTACAGACTATTCCATAGCTATTCCGTAGCTAATCTATAGCAAAACATACCAGCGAGAGATTAGCTATAAAATAGCTAAGGAATGTGTCATAGCTAATAGGTAAAATTCTTGTAGTGTTTCTGTAGTGGTTTTAGAAGATTTGAAACCCATAGTCACTGATGTTGTGCTTTGGTTTGTCATGTAATTGGTAAACTATAGATGAATTCGATATGCGAAGGTGGTTGATATTTGCATTGTTGAGGGTTCATGATTCTGAATATATGGTTTCATTTGATGCACACATCAATATTTTGGCTTTACCTGAAACTTGATTACGATGTAATTCCGAAGTTCGAATAACTTTTTCTGATTTTTTTTATATGATATTTTTGAATTAAAAGGTTTTATGTGGTATCAATACAATTTTAAAAATTAAGTTCTTGTATGTCGATGACAACTAATTTGTGGATGCTTGTAATCATCTTAAAAAAGGTTGCATTATTGAAAGTTGTAGGAACATATTTCTAAAACCTCATTATAGAGAATGCATTAAACAATTGCCTTAGTGTAGGATATGAGCACATAATTGTGTGTATTGATGTCATATAAAGATTTTGGATCCAAGGTTATTAACTCACGATTCTGAGTTATCCACCAGTTTACGTATTGTCAAAAGGATATAAAGTTTGTCTTCTTTTTTTAAGAATATGAGTAATAATTTAAATCTTAAATATTTGATATTATAAATTTTGATAAAAATTGTGAGGGATTAGTTATGAATTAGCGAGAGAAACATTGCAAAGGATTAGTTACGGATTAGCGAGGAAATAATTGCGAGGCATTAACCATATATTAGCTAGAGATAAATTGTCAGGGATTCGCTACAGATTAGCGAGAGAAAAATTGTGAGGGATTAACTACGGATTAGCGAGAGAAAAATTGTGAGGGATTAGCTACGAATTAGCGAGAGTAAAATTGCGAGGGATTAGTTATGGATTAGCGAGAGGAAAATTGCGAGAGATTAGCTACGAATTAGTGAGAGCGAAATTGCGAGGGATTAGCTACAGATTAGCGAGAGCAAAATTGCGAGAGATTAGCTACGGATTAGCTACAAGTTTTGGGAGATCAAATTAGCTAGAGATAAACAAAGTTTCATCATTTAAATTAGCGAGGGATTTAGCGACAGTTTAGCGACAAAATTTGCTACAAATTTTAGAGAAAATACATTTGTATCTAATTAGCTACTTGGATTTAGCTACGGACTATTCCATAGCTATTCCGTAGCTAATCTATAGCGAAACATACCAGCGAGAGATTAGCTATAAAATAGCTATGGAATGTGTCATAACTAATATGTAAAATTCTTGTAGTGATCCAAAGCTGCTAGAACCAGCTCGGATAGCCAACTTCAAGAAATAACCGCCAAATCAGCATGCCTTGAGGCCGAATCAACAAAACAGGTTCAGACGATCAAGGACTTGTTACAAGACCTCACAAGGACTCAGTTAGAAATACACCAAGAGCGAGAGGCCAATCGGAGACTCAACAAAAGTCTCACTGAGCTACGCTGCAAAGAAAGAGACGGGCTAGCTCAGTATGGCCAAGTAATACGAGAAAAAGACCGAGCTCTTGTAAAACTCGATGAACTACAAGCCTTGGTCGTCCATCAAGAGGCGAAGATCAAAGAGGCTCAAAAGTACAGTGAAGATATGAGCCAGGCGGTCCAGAAGCAAAGTGAAGCACTCACTCGTCACGTCCGGGAAGCTGAAAGGGAATTACATAGAGATCAAGACCCGCCTGTGGGTTTCTTTAGGCTTTTCCGTTTCTATCAAAAGTTGTTTCGTAGTATGAAATAGGGGAATTTACACCTTCTACGGATAAATGAAATTTTTCTTTATTCAACAATTGTCTACTTGCATGCATATCATTCATTTGCACATTTAACTCCCCCTCCTTCACTTTTAATAAACAAGATAATAAAAAGGAAGTATTAACTGACACGTCTTCCAAATCAGAAGAATGGAGAGAAAGCCACTTTTAATCAAGCTCTCCCCGACGGTCGAGCCACCACAAGAGAATAATAAGCCTCGACCATTGGTCCTCAAAACCAATAAGGAAGAGGGGATAAGGGCACCCGTGCGACTATTTATGCCACGTCCTTTCCCCTATGAGTCAAATAAAGTTGTACCGTGGAGATACGGGGAATCTTCACCAATAAAGGAGGATATCTCCAATATAGCCGGTATTGGGGGCATGACTAGAAGTGGAAGGATCTACTCCCCCAATGACTCACAAGAAGATGCCCCCAAGAATAAAAGAAAAAATAAACAGACCGAAGAAAAAGAAAATAAAGAATCCAAGGAGGAGACCGAGGAATTACTTCAGTTTATAAGGCAAAGCGAGTATTCCATTATTGACCAGCTCAATCATACACCTGCAAAGATAACTCTATTATCTCTAATGATGAGCTCGGAACCACATAGAAGTGCCCTGATGAAGGTCTTGAGCGAAGTGCATGTACCTCACACGATATCCCAAGAAAAGGTCGAGAGGATCGTCGATTTCATTACGGCAAGCGATCACCTCACCTTTACAGAGGAAGAACTCCCTCTCGAAGGGTCAAACCACAAGAAACCCTTGCACATTTCCATCAAGTGCAAAGAGTACCTCATTGCCAAAGTTCTTGTGGATAACGGGTCATCCTTGAACGTGATGCCCAAGTGCACACTCGACAAGTTAACTATCCAAGGAACCCGTCTGCGCCCAAGCAGCACTATCGTTCGAGCCTTCGACGAATCAAAACGAGAAGTAGTGGGAGAAGTTAATTTGCCAATCCAAGTTGGACCCACTATCTTCAACGTCGATTTTCATGTAATGGATATTACTCCAGCATATAGTTGTCTCCTCGGCAGACCTTGGATTCACGACGCTAAGGTAGTACCTTCAACGCTCCACCATAAAGTCAAGTTCATAGTGGATGACAAGTTGGTCACGGTCCAAGTAGAAGACGATATCCTGATCAGTGGACCGTCCACCCAACCTTATGTGGATGCGGTTGAAGAGG